CATCATACATACCAGCAGCCTTAGGCAAAGAAAGAGCTCAACAATGCTTTGAATAGAGAAGAGAGCCCAGATCGCAAGGAAAAACAATCACAAAGTCATCGTTCTCGGGGACTTCAACTCCATCCCAAATCCCAGACTAGACAAAACAACACTGGCCAAATATCAAGACAAATCAAACAATCCGACATCACACGTCCTCAAATTTCTTAAATATAATGGATACATCGACACATTCCAAGAGGTACATCCACACTGGAAGAAATATACATGGCAGAACAGTAGAAACACAAAAACCAGAATTGATCAAATTTGGATGTTACCAGATGAAGACTGGAACCTATGGTACGCATATATAATAGAGTCAGAAGCAATAACCCATAGCGATCACAAAATAGCAGGCTGCAAAATTGAGACGGGTAATATAACACAAAAAATCCATCCAAATGGCAGAGAGAAACCAGCATGGAGATACTCTGCGAAGCACACAAACACGAAACAGTGGAAACAATTCTCAAAGCAAATTACAAACATCATAACAGCACAAGAAGAAAAAATTAATCCTGACTGAGTTTCTGCAAACAAGCTATGGAACCTCACGTGGGAAGCAATAAACCAGGCCATGAGAAGTAATGTAAAAAAAATAAAAATCAGACAAAATAAACAAAAAACAAAAACAAATAATGACAGGAAAACAGCACAGACAATTACAGTACTCAACAGAGCCATAAATATTGCAAAGAAATACCTGGCAGGAAAAATAGATGCTGAATGTACAATATCACAAGTGGAGGAGTGGAAAAAAACAAACGCACAAACAGCAGAGCTCCTGTCAACCAAGCTTTCAAACAAGTTCCAGGGTATCAACCTAGTTCATTGGTTTCAAGAAATACGCAACCTTAAAACAGGCATCACAAAGGCACTCAAGATCTACCTTCAACACAGAAAACAAGTCCAAATTCGAAAATACACAGAGATAAGACAAAACAACCACCAATTCGCAAAGAAGAAGATAATAGATTTGTTTCTCAATAGAAAGTCAACACACATCGAGATGGACAAACTACTTCTTGAAGATCCAGAGAAGAATGCCATCACAGACCCAATCACAATTAAAAAAATGGCAGTAAACCATTACAAACGTATTGCAGCTCCAACATTACAAAAGCAAAAAAACCAAAGAGTCAAAATGGCGAACAGAATACATACCGAAAACAGAAATAGATCCAACATGGTATTCAGAGCTCACAGAACAATACACGATACAAGAAGTCGAAGAAACAATCAAGAAAATGAACAATGGATCCACTCCCGGCAAATTCCAACTTAGCTACGACATCATCAAAAGAATGGGAAAAACAGCACACACAAGAATCGTAAACATATTTAACAAAGTACTCGAGATACAAGAAATCCTACTCTTTTGGCAAAACAATCTGATATACCCTATACCAAAAAAGAAAAACTGGTACCATGATCTTAACTTAACCCGACCCATTACACTGCTAGAAACAATTAAGAAGATCTTCACAAAAACACTAAACAACAGACTGGCCAAAATTCTCACAAAACATAAAATCTTATCTCCACTCAATTGGGCAGGACTCCCAGGAGGGGAACACACGAACCAATAATGATCATCAACAATGTTCTGGAAGATGCCAGGGAGAATCAAAAAGATTGCTGGATTCTAACACAAGATATTAGCAAGGCATACGACTCCATGGACAAAAATCGACTAGAGGATGCCTTGTTAAGGATCAAAGTCCCACAAAACATCATAACAATATTGTTAAAACTCAACTTTAACAGAAATAACCAAATAATCACATGCCACAGACTTTCTGAGAGCTATAGCCCAAGCATAGGGATAGATCAAGGTGATACAATTTCCCCTCTTCTCTGGCGAATATACTATGACCCCCTTATACGTAAGGTGGAACAAGAAAATCTAGGATACACGATCACTACAAACTATCTAACAACAAATCCAAGAAAATTCCGAAAAACAAAACTCAATATATCCTCTATTACATATATGGACGATAGCATATGGATCACTAACAGTAAGGAAAATTTGAAAAAAATAGAAAAGATCGTAACATCATTTGCAAACTTGAACAACTTGAAGATAAACCCACAAAAGTCATTCCTTTTGACAACAAACAAGAATCAGACACTTAACAAGATCAGATGGGACAATTGTACAATACAAGCGGAACATCACAAGTCACCAGTCAGAATCCTAGGCATATGGATAACAGCTTCGAGAGC